CACACACACACACACACACACTTAAAAAGAAAAAAAAAATACCCCCTCAAAACAAACCAGCAAAACCCTAACAGAATAGAGAGGCCACAATCAAACCTAAGCAGGGTTTGGTTGCACCGTCCTAATGGTTGGAAAGTTCTCTGGGGTGTTGCAGAGCTTCTGATTGGTGATTCCCACCATCACTGCCTAGGATCAAGGAACCCCTTCTGTTTATTTGAGCTGTCTCCTGCTCGGATGCTAGATAAATGAGTGGGTGTTAGATGTATGTGGGTGGTGATGATGATGGTGATGATGGTGATGATGACGGTGATGATGGTGATGATGACGACGACGACCAGACCAGACCAGACGAGGGCAGGGAACGAGATAGAGTTTCTGAGAGAAGAGTCAGGAGTGGATTAATTCAGGACATTCCTTTCTTTCTGGCACCTCAACTGCTTGTCACCTCAGGGGTTTGCTGGGCTCCCTCGTGAGACCCAGCCTGGTGACGTGGCGCTGCTCTCCCCACAGACTCGGACCTCTGCCTCAAATTCGCTATGATCTGTACTCTTAACGACAAGTGTGACCGCCTGCGCAAGGCCTACGGGGAGGCGTGCTCGGGGTTCCGCTGCCAGCGCCACCTCTGCCTGGCGCAGCTGCGCTCCTTCTTCGAGAAGGCGGCCGAGTCCCATGCCCAGGCCCTGCTGCTGTGCCCCTGCAGGCCCGAGGATGTGGGCTGTGGGGAGCGCCGGCGGAACACCATCGCCCCCAGCTGCGCCCTCCCTTCTGAGGTCCCCAACTGCCTGGAGCTTCGGAGCTTCTGCCGGGCGGACCCTCTCTGCAGGTGCCCAGGGAGGGTGGGCGGGACGGGCAGCGACGTGGCACACCTCTCTATCGGGGTCTCGCTCTCCTTCCGCAAAAGCCGCACTTGATGTCCCAGGACACCGAGAGCCCACTGGCTGTTTTACCTTGGACATTTTGTGAAACCCCCCCTCCTGCCCTTCCTTCCGTAGCCCAGGCTGTCCACTACATTATGTAACCCAAGCTTCCCCCTTGACTTCCTGGGTGCAGGGGTTATAAAGACACCCCCACCGCTCCAGGCCATGACACTTTTTTTTGATTTTTTTCAGACAAGGTCTCATGCAGCCCTGAACTCTTGATCTTCCTTTCTCTTCCTCCTAAATGCCTGGTCAACTTTAGTTCCACAAATTGAGACCCTGCCTAAAAGAAAACAAAAACAAATAAACCCCCTACGTTTATTTATTCATTTATTTAGTGAGGTGAGGGAGGTGGGGTAGTCCTGCAGCCTCCGGAGTCAGAATGCACGTGTGGAGGTCAAAGGTCAACTCTCTCCTTCCACTAAGTAAGTAGGTTGTGGATCGAGAGGGAGGAAACTCAGGACTTCAGGTTTGGTAGGAAGTGATTTTATCTCACTAGCTCCAGAAACCCTTTTTCTCTTTCTTCCTTTCTTCCTGTCT